TCTCCTCTGCAACTCTTCAATTCATACCTAAAACTGTAACAATTGTGACAATTCTCTCTCTCTCTACCCCTTTCTTGCCTCTGAAAATTCAAGAAACAGGGGAGAATGATGGTGGGAATCGATGATTTGGGGCTGAGTTTGAGCTTGGGCTTTCCGGCGAGTGGGAAATCCGGCGCGGCGGCGGTGGCGCCGGCGAGGAATCTCAACCCGATGCCGTCTCATTTCTCTCTCTTCCAAACGTCTCCCTGGCCGGAAACCTTCCCGAATTCAGGTACGTTCCCCGTTCTCTCTTCAGTTCCTATCCGGATCTGGGGAACGGAAAATTGTGGGTCTGAATCGGGGAATCTGTTTGTGTGTACAGATCCGGGAGACTCGGAGGCCTGCCAGGCGGCGTTGAAAGGGATAGACGTGAACAGGGCTCCGGCGGCGGCGTCCGACGCCGACGAGGATGCCGGAGTTTCGTCGCCGAACAGCACGATCTCCAGCATGAGCGGGAGCAAGCGGAGCGAGGCGGAGGCCATGATGATGATGATGATGAACCCGGAGGAGAACGAGAGGGCGTGCTCCCGCGCCGCCAGCGACGAGGAGGACGGGGAGACTTCTCGAAAGAAGCTCCGGCTGAGCAAGGACCAGTCCGCCATTCTCGAGGACAGCTTCAAGGAGCACAATACCCTCAACCCCGTGAGTACAACACCAAATCTTCATCAACAAGCACAGGGGCATTTTCGTCATTTTACTAACTCTGTTCTTCCCCTTTCCTCAGAAGCAGAAATTAGCTTTGGCCAAGAGGCTGGGATTGAAGCCAAGACAAGTCGAGGTCTGGTTCCAGAACCGAAGGGCAAGGTGCGTTCTCGTTTCCCCGATTGCCCCGGGGCAATTTCGCCATTCCGTTCGCCCGATTCGGAGATTTCGAATTGGCGAAGACGAGGTTAATTTTACTAACATTGTCTTTGAAACTCCGACCTCGGATTTGCAGGACGAAGCTGAAGCAGACGGAAGTGGACTGCGAGTTCCTGAAGAGATGCTGCGAGAATCTGACGGAGGAGAACCGGAGACTGCAGAAGGAAGTGCAGGAGCTCCGGGCGCTGAAGCTCTCTCCACAGTTCTACATGCAGATGCCGCCGCCGACGACTCTGACCATGTGCCCGTCGTGCGAGCGCGTCGCCGCCGCCGCACCGCCTTCTGCCGCCGCGCAATCCCGGCAGCAGCAGCAGCTGCCGTTCGGCATCTGGGCGCCCGGCCGGCCGCCGGTGGAGGCGCATCCTAGAAAGGCGACTTAGTCATGAATAATTAACCTTCTCGCTCCCCGGGGGGGCGATTTGGTCATTTTGACCGTCCTAGTTTTTTATTTTTAGGAAAAGAGAGAAGATGATACCATACGACAGCGTTTAATGTGTGCGAAGATATGGTTGTTGGAGTTGGGGATAAACCTTTTATTGTGTTTTTTTTTAATGACCCATGTGTCCGTGTGGGGGGAAAAAGAGTACTCGAGATGTAAATTATTGGTTTGGTTGCTCCCAATTTGTTCTTTTATTTAACCGCTGATTACTACTACCAGTAATAATTACTAGTTATGAATTCATTTTACTCTTTTTTTTTTAAAATAGCACAACTTGTATTTGCTCTTTTATTTTGGTTTCAATTAGGTACACGAAATTCAAACTCTGAAATTAAAAATAACAATTTCAATTTTGGTGTTTGATAGTATAAAAATATGTAGATTTGAAGTTGATAGTGCTAAAAAATGAATTAGAATTGGAGAAATTCAAATATGTCCAAATAAATTCCATAAAAATGTAATTCATAATTCAATTCTAATTCTGTCCATTTTGTGTACCAAACTGACACTTAAAATTAGTGTATTTGATAAAATTTTAATAGTGTATTTGATAAAATTTTAATAGCGTGGGAGGACACACGTTGATTTGTGTACCTGTGCGCGATAATCCCAACATACAAGCCTATGAGGATTTCATCCTAAAACTAATTGGTGATAGAAGGAGAGCCCATACCACACTTATATGTGGGTATTTTTTGTGTTCTTCTTCGATATTTTAATGGGTAATTTAACTAAATAAGACTAAAACATAATAACTTTCTCAAGATAGTACCATATGTTTTTAATTCCCAATGTAGGACCATTGGTCATTATCTATTAGTCATTATTCAACTAAATGTCCAACATCACTTGGACATTATTCTTTTCACTAGTCATTATTAAGTCTTATTTAGGGAATAAAAAAACTTAAATCTTACCTTAGAAAATGACTTATGTTCTAGTCCTATTCTGTGTAAATTTCACTATTTTAATTTCTGGGCTTCCACGCCTTCATTTCCTTGTTCTTCATCATCATATTTCTCCTCCATGATAATGTGCTTTTCTTTTCCCTTTTTAGAACTACCTCCTTTCTTCATCTTCGCCTTTCACATTCTAGCAAATACGTAGTACTACCCAAATATCTCATTTGACAGAGACAAATGTTCTGAGTATGAGTTCGTAAAGGCCAATCCTTCGGTGCCTCTTCTAGAGTGAGGGTTTTAAAACCCTCCCCATGTGACACAATAAGAAAAAGACATGAGGACATGATATTCCACCTCTTTTAAAAACTTAAATTATTCTTGTTAATTCAATATTGGCCCCAATCTAAAATTAATTTATTTTTACACCATGAATTATTATTTTGTTAACAGAGGGTTAATGGAACAGCCTGTTTTGTTCAACAAAATGAAAGTTGGGATTATTTTTAGTGAATTTTTGTTTTTTATTTATTTAAATACTTATTTAAGTTTTTAAAAAACTTTCTACATACATTTTTTTCCTTTTTTTTTAAAATATTATTCTTATCTTATAAAAATAAGTATAAAATATAAAATATAAAAAATAAGTATAAAAATATTAAATATAAGATTTCAGTTATTGTTCTCATTTTTGTTATTTTTTATATCTATTTTTTTTATTTATATCCAAAGTTAGACTAATCTTTAAAAGAATACAACAAAATGAAAGTTGGGATTACTTTTAGTGAATTTTTGTTTTTTATTTATTTAAGTTTTTTAAACAAATTCTACATAAATTTTTTTTCCTTTTTTTAAATATTATTCTTATCTTATAAAAAATAAGTATAAAATATCAAATATAAAAAATAAGTATAAAAATATTAAATACTCCTCCGTCCCAAAAAGATTTACACCTTTCAAAAAAATTGCGTTACACAATCTCCTATCCATTTCTATTAAAAACAACTTTTACCCCTTACTTTTTCAAAACATACCTATCACATCATACCCTTTTTCTAATAATCTACACATCACATCCTACTTTCACCCATCACATCAAGGGTATTTTTGGAAAGTCAACACAAAATTATCTCTCTCTTAATTTTAACTTTAGTCAAAACGTGTAAATCTTTTTGGGACGGAGGTAGTATAAGATTTCAGTTATTTTTCTCATTTTTTATTTTTTATATTTAGTTTTTTATTATATTCAAAGTTAGACTAATCTTTAAAAGAATACAAATGATAGAAATCAAACTAAAAATGAGAAGTAGACATATTTGGAACAAGAAAACGAGATTTCAGGACATAATGCTCGTACGTCTCACAAGAATTGACATTTAATCAATGAAAAAATTGATAGAAGGAAATCAGAGAGAAATAAAGCAAGAGATATGAGCCGATCTAAGGTTAAATTTGAAGGGCCAAACCCGTCGATGGCGCAGGATGGAGATAATGACTCTGGACGAAGGCAGCGGCGATGGAGACGGTCTTCTGAAAAAAACGATGCTGGGTTGGATGGGAAGAAAAATATGACATTAACTTATGATGGTGCTGAAGGGAAGAAAAATAAAATAATTTTGGATTGGGACCAATATTAAATTAACAAGAATAATTTAAGTTTTTAAAAGAGGTAGAATATTGCATGCACATGTCTTTTTCTCATTGCGCCACATGGGAAGGGTTTTATAACCCTCACTTTGGAAGAGGCACCGAAGGAACCGCCGTTTGTAAACTTCGACTATAATATGTAGAAAAAATACATTCTATTACGATATAACTTTAATATGAATATATTCATTTTGAAATATAGTTTTCAAATATCAAATTTTTATAAAATATATCCATGTATAAATAAAGATAGTAGTGATCAAAGTGTAATCTTGGAGACCGTAAAGAGTCAAATGTGAAGAACATTTTCAGACGGAAGGAGTAACATATTTACGGGGTGTTTCGCTGTATTGTTATTTATTGACTTATTGGATAAACAATTTTTAATTAATAAGTTGCTTATACATTAAATATTTTTTGTGTGAAAGTAAAATACCTTAAATAATAGATAAATCATTTGTAAATATTCATAAATGGTGAGAGACATTTTTGTAAATAATATGATCAAATGGAGAAATGAAAAAATTGGCTTAAAAGAAAGTAGTTAAGACCTATTTATGTTTTTTTACTTATAAGCAGCTTATAAATCGGTTTATATGCACACAGAACATGACATCAACTAACTTATAAGTTAAGCACTGCTTATAAGCAGTTTTGACAAACTTATAAACACAAAAAAATACCCACTTAGATGTAACTAAAGAGTGACGACGTGTCGAGACTTTAGATATCGTCCGATCAGGTAAAATCTCAAAATCTAACCCACCTCCCGCTTAAGAGATTGAGAATATAAAATTGAATAAATACAACACTGATAATATTTGAGTTACTAAAAAAACATACTCTATATAACTAAATAAAAATTAATTGAGAGAATCAAACGCTGACAGTGCAAATCATTTAGAACAGAGGTGATGGTATAAATACCGTGCAAATATAAAGTACAGATAAGCGGAAGGGCTGTAAGTAGGAACACATATAACCCGATTTGTTATTAATGATAATAGGATCGTTTACAAAGTACAAACCATGTAGGTTAATTAAAGCATACTTCTCAAATGAGACTTTTAGTTCTATTTATAATAATGACTAAACACCCATCCGGAGGAGTATAATATTTTAACATACACTATTTTGTAGGTTTAATTAACTTAGAAAAATGAATTAATGGAGTAGTTTTTAAATAAACTATCATTATTATCAATTGAAATGAATCTACAAAATACCGAGGAAAAAGTAAATAAAAGTCAAGTCTAGTAACACATATTTGCTCCCTTGTGAAGTGGTACGAAATGGTACATTTTTATTGTGTTGTTCCTACATTATTGTATGTATCCCAATTTCCCCTTGACTTCGACGACCAAATGCAAACAGTTTGTCTTCCCTTTCGGTGCCCCGTTTATATATATATATATATATATACTTTCTTCGTTTTTAAAAGATTGTCACAGTTTGAATTTTTTTTCATATTGTGATATCTTTTGATCATGAATTATAAAAAAAGTATATTCAATTATAATGTAAATTTAATAAAATTAGGTTTATTTTAAAATATATTTTTGAAACATCAAGTTTTTTTAATATTTAATTATTTTAAAATATATTTAATTTGTGGTTAAAGGATGTCACAATAATTTTAATAAAACTAGGTTTATTTTAAATTATAATTTCGAAACATCAACTTTTATTAATATTTAATTATTTTAAACTGTGACAATCTTTTAGAGACAGAAGGAGTATTTATTTAGAAGTAAAATTTTATTTTATACTCGGGGCCGGTCTCGAAAAGTGAAAAAATGAAATTGGCCCAGACCAAAATTTACACTTTGGGCCCTATTTTATTATTTTAGAAAACTTATTCTTCAAAATTAATGAAGAATTTAAAAATATGGGGTTCTAAAATTTTAGGGGCCTTGTACGGTTGGCCACTTTGAACACCCTTCAGGGCACCCATGTGTATACTAATAATTTCACAAACTAAAATATTCTGTTGAGAAAATTATTATAAAAATAAGAAAAGAAAAGAAATCTAGAATAAGAAGACAAAAAATGAGGAGGCTTTACCCATGCGACATTGACGAGGAAATAATGGGATGATGTCTCAATAATAATGTTTGAAGGATAAATACTCTGAATGGCTCTATCATTTTGCTCTCATTTCAATATCTGGTCAAGTAAAACATTCTTTTTTTGGATTAATCTGAGATGTTAAAAACATTAATGAGATCTGACCCACGGTTAAATGTCGGTTAAAGAAAAATTCTGTTCAAAATATAAATTATTTAATCGCTTCACGTGAACCGGTATTGACAATTGGGGGGTCATTTATGGGTGTAATAAAAAATTTTAAAAAAAAATCCTGAATATATCGGAATAATTTATTTACACACGGATACTCAATAATCACATACTTTCCCTGTCCTAAATTTAATCACAAATTGAGATCACATACTTTCCCTGTCCTAAATTTAATCACAAATTGAGATTTATGAAGTAAAATTTTTTATCTTTTGAAATCGTTTTATTCACAAATCTCCGAGTCCAGTTCTTCAAGATCACCACTTCAATTTTACTTTCGCCATGGCAAAAACTATTCATCTGTTGTCCAAGATCAACCCTACGAGTGAGTGCTGACTGATTGTGGTTCGTGTCGTTAGGTTGTAAACGTTACCCACATTTGGCGATGAGAGAACC